CCGCCGCCGGTGCGTCCACGCCCGAGTCGGTGGCGGACTACGTCGAGGCTGCGCGCGATCACGTCGTTGCGGCGGGCGGAAAGGTGGCGGCGGCAGCGCAAGGCGGTGTGTCGAGCGCGGCGTCGGTGGCGGATGCGGCGACGTCGAGTGCAGGCGTGGTGTATGCGTCGGGATCGTCACTCGCCTCCGCCGCGTCCAGGTCGGCTGCGTCGGCGGTTGGAGCATCGCCTTCGCCGGAGACGCTGCAGGACCGTGTTGACGACGCGCGCGATGGCGTCAACAGCGTTGTGGACGCTGCTTCATCCAGAGCAGGCGTGGTGTATGCCTCGGCGGCATCGGCGGCGCAGGCGGGTGTGTCGTCGGCATCCTCGCTCGCCAGCGCTGCGAGCCGGAGCGCCGCATCTGCCGTCGGCGCCTCGCCTACCGCTGAAACCGTCGCCGACTACATCGACGACGCCAGCGACGCGGCCGGTAAGATGGCCAAAAAGGCTCACGGCGCAGTCAGCAAGGCCGCGGCTCAGGTTCATGTGGAGCTGTAGCTGCAAAGCACACAAATGGAAGTTGGAAAGCATGTTTAGATTGCGCAGTGGGAGCGGGTGGGTTTAGGTGAGGCAGGGTTGGATGGCGGGCTGAGGGTTGGGGTGGGGCTGTTGGTGTTGCTGGTTGAGCATGTGTCGGAGGACGGTAACGGAGCCTGTTTCGAGGGGATGTTGCGGCTGATGTTGCTGGTCGCGATAAGCCTTGAGGAGATCCGTATTTCGCAGCAAGGCTTTGCGTTTGAGGGCTTTGATCTGGTCAAACTGGAGCACGACTCTTTCCGTCGGCATGACCGTGGGGTCGATGCGCGAGAGGTGGTGGAGCATGGATGCTTCCAGGCGTTCCCAGACACGGGCAGGTGCATCGACACGCGCCAGGGTGCGGATCAGAACGTCCAAGCGTCGGTCTACGAAACGGTCCATTCCAACACCGTTGCGCCTGCGTCCCCCTGTGAGACACACGCGCACAACACTGTCCAGCACAACCTTGTCTCGAAATAGCCATGCGAATCGACGTCGTGCCCGCCGATCCTGCTGCGAATCGCGCTGTTCGTAGTGCGTCAGGTTGATGTCGAGGATCGTCAAGGCGTCCTTCATCGTACGCCATGGATTCTTGAATGCATACGTCCCTCCAACCGCCATATGCTCGGAAGCGTCATCAGACACGTGCGAAAGTGTCCCGGGATCGGTCCGCTGACTGTGAGCGATGGAATCCTCGCGCCATGCACCCATCCACCTTCGCCACAGCCGAAGGACGGTGATGGAGGGTTGCCAAGCATCGTCGCTCGACTTTGGCTTGAAGTTGGCGGGTCGCTGCACACCTGTCCACACCTCGTGAAAGTCGGTACTGCTGCAGCCGAATCCGATGCGCAGTACGGCGAGCGCCTCGTCCCCATCGGAAGTGAAAGGCCGACGTCGCATCGCTGCCGAGAAGAGGGCCACGACCGAGCTGCGTTGTTTGATGAGCAGATCCCTCGCGCTCGGTGTGGATGGCTGGAGCGACTTGATCGCGAGCAGCTCGCGGAGCAGCTCCTTCCCCGTGCTCATGTCGCCCAAAGCAGCCGCAAGACGCAGACGCAGGAAAAGCTCGGTGAGTTGCCATTCGTCGACATGCTTGCGGTCGTGCATGCCGACCATCCTCCTGGTGCGCGGACGCTTCCTCGTGCGAAGCTCGTGCATCAGCGTGCTTATGCGGCGAGGCGGCTGCAAACGCGAGCGCCCTTGGGTGCGGAGGTGTGCCATTGCATCGATCTCGGCCTGCACAATGGCTCCAAAGAGCCGGGGCGAAGTGGCTGATTCGGCGGCAGAGTCCATTGAACGCGCCGCGATGGCACGGACCACCTGCAACATGGCGGCCACCTGGTCGCGCGACATGGACGCAGCGCTGTGGGTGCGCAACGGCGCACTGAACGAGTGCACGATGGTGGCGAGAAACGTGTCATCCATCGCAATGTCGCGTTCGTCCATCTGGCGTTTCAGCAGGAGCAATTGCTGCTGGAGATACTCGAGGTTGTTGGCGATGCACTTCGGATCCGCGTGATCGGAGCGCGCCCGCACCTTTTGACAGAGCGCGATGAACTCGGACTGAAACGTGCGAATGTCGGTGTCGAGCGCATGCTTCTGGAGCAGCTCAAAGCATTTCTGCGTGCGGTCAAAGTCGCCGAGTTCGGAGAAGGCCATCATGAGGCGTCGTAGGGTGCGGGAAAGATGGTCACGATCCGAAAGGCTGAGTTGGGCGTTGGGCGCGGGGGCAGACGCGAGGCGGTCGTCGATCATGGTGAGTAGCAGTTTGAGCGTCGTTCTGGCCGCTTCGGCGCGCGCGTGACCAGCGAGTTCGCACAGGAAGGCCGGAGAGAGGGAAGTTGCATGAGCAGCTTGCGCTATGGCCTGCAGGGTGCGGGTGATGGTCCAGCTCATTGCTTGCACGTCGCCCTTGCCACTGGCTTTGGTGATGCTGAATGCGGTGCTGAACAGACTGAGCACAAAGTGCTCGTTGCATGGAAGCTTGCACGACCACGTTTCGTCCGGAGGCGTGCCCTTCTTGTGGAGGCGCTTGGCGCGCCGCCGTTCTTGCACGAGAAGCGGATGTTTGTAGATCTGATCGGCTGCTCGAATGACTTCTTGTTCGTCCCGGGCCGCTTCGAGTGGAGCCATGGCGCTGGCCAAGCCAATGGTGGAGGCTTCGGTGTCGAAGAACGAGCTAAAGTCGGTCTGGTCTGGAACAAGCCTTGCTACGTCGAGCAATTGAGGTGATCGCGTTGTGATAGGGACAGTCTGAGGCGCCGTGTATTCTATGGAGAAAGGTCTAGCTGCAGATGTCGACGCATATGGCCTGTGCTGGCGGGTCGGACCCTGCGTGAGTGCCGGTGCGAGGAAGTCGGGCACACCTGCCGACAGCGCCAAGTTGGAACCAACGGACGGCCTTGGAGCAAGCCTGGACCCAGAAGGTTGCACTTCAGCTGCTCCGAGGCGGCCGAGCGATGGCAGCGAGCTGTGCCATCTTCGAAACGCCATGGTCGCAGTTGACCCCAATGCAGCTGCGAGCGCAGTGACTTGCCACCTTGGCACTTTCTGTATGGAGCGAGGATGCTATGTTTCCACCATCGATGGTTACGAGCGGTAGACAGACGAGTCGAGCACTAGGTGTGGGATGTGAGCAGGCGAGAAGAGCCTTGGCAGAAGTAGGAGCGGCTCGAGTGCATGGGTGAGGCGTGGCCAGGCTCGGAACTCGGATCTCTCACCCGCCCAAGTCACGTGTGATGGCTGAGAAAGAGAGCAGAAGCCTTCGAAATTTCTTCGCTGCTGCATTGCGCTGCTTTTTTTTTCTCTCTCAACTTTGCCAGGTTTCGGCGAGGCCGAAAAAAATCCCCCAAAGCCAAAGAAAGCTCAGCGTCGGCTGCACCCTGAAGTCACATTTTGCTGACTCTCTCGCCTCCTCCTCTGCCATCACCCTATCAACAGCCCAAACGATCGACTCAGCCTTTTCTTCAGCATCAAAGCGAAGAAGCGAAGAGGCTCCTAGTCAACGGCTGCATGCCGCAGTAGCTTGAGCCTCGTCACTTTCCTACGCTCGATCCAGGACCGGTGGTGGCGGCTTCTTGTCCACAATGGCGTCCCCCTCCTCCTCTGCCGTCGCGGAGGGATCCACCAAGAGAAAGAAGGGCGCCTCCGCTCCTCACCTCAAGTCACGCTCCAAGAACGCCCGTAAGCTCAAGAGGCAGGCCGAGGATGCAGAGATCACCCAGCTCGAGCAGGGCGCAACCTCGTTCGTCGAGCCGCCCAACTTCAAGCAATTCGCACAGCTGCCCCTCTCGGACCGCACACGCAGAGGCCTCAAGAAGGCAGGATACACAGACATGACCGACATCCAAGCCAAGTCGCTTCCGCTTTCGCTCAAAGGCAAGGACGTGCTCGGCGCGGCGCGTACGGGCTCGGGCAAGACGCTCGCATTCTTGATACCCGTCCTCGAGATCCTCTTTCGCAGAAAATGGGGTCCTTCTGACGGCCTCGGAGCCCTGGTCATCTCGCCGACGCGAGAGCTCGCCATCCAGATTTTCGAGGTCCTCCGCAAGATTGGACCCTACCACACCTTCTCGGCCGGTCTCGTCATCGGTGGCAAGGATGTCAAGCAGGAAAAGGACCGTCTTTCGCGCATGAACATCCTAGTCGCCACTCCCGGTCGTCTGTTGCAGCACATGGATCAGACCCTTGGATTCGACACCTCCAACCTCCAGATCCTCGTCCTCGACGAGGCCGATCGCATCCTCGACATGGGCTTCTCGCGCACCTTGAACGCCATCGTCGAGAACCTGCCGCGCGACCGCCAGACCATGCTCTTCTCGGCCACCCAGACCAAGCGCGTCAAGGATCTGGCGCGCCTCTCGCTCCAGAATCCCGAGTACGTCGCTGTCCGCGAGCCCGAAAACGAGGGATCCACGCCCAAGGGCCTCGAACAGCACTACATGCTCGTCGAGCTCGAAAAGAAGCTCGATCTGCTCTTCTCCTTCATCCGCACGCACACCAAGTGCAAGGCGCTCGTCTTTATGAGCTCGTGCCGTCAGGTGCAGTTCGTCCACGAGACCTTCTGCAAGCTGCGTCCCGGGATCAGCCTCATGGCGTTGCACGGCAAGCAGAAGCAGGCCAAGCGTCTGCAGATCTTTACGCAGTTCACCAAGACGCAGCATGCCATGCTCTTTGCCACCGACATTGCCGCACGTGGTCTCGACTTCCCCGCCGTCGACTGGGTCATCCAGCTCGACGTGCCCGAAGACGTCGACACCTACATCCACCGTGTCGGAAGGACCGCCCGCTACACCGCCAAGGGCAACAGTCTGCTCTTTGTGCTTCCTAGCGAAGAGAAGGGCATGCTCGAGGCGCTCGCCACCAAAAACATCCCCATCGGACGCATCAAGCCCAAGGAGAGCAAGACGCAGAGCATCCAGAACCAGCTGCAGGCCTTCGCCTTCCAGGAGCCGCAGATCAAGCACCTCGCACAGAAGGCGTTCGTCTCGTATGTGCGCTCGATCCACCTGCAGAAGAACAAGGAGATCTTTGACGTCACCGCGCTTCCGCTCGAGCCGTTTGCTGCGGCGCTCGGTTTGCCCGGTGCACCCAAGGTCAAGTTTGTCAAGGAGGCCGCCAAGGCCAAGAAGGCGGCAGCCTACAAGGCGGCCCAATCGCAGGGCGATGCGCCAGGAGACGAGCAGGAAAGCGACGATGCGGCGGACAAGGCGACCAAGGTGCGCACCAAGTACGACCGCATGTTTGAGCGCAAGAACCAAGACATCCTCAGCGAGCACTACGCCAAGCTCATCGCCGACGACGACGACGACGATGATGATGACGACG